GAAAGAGAGAGTGCGTCCGTTTCACGCACGACGCGCATCATTTATCCTTGTTACTCACGAAATGTTAAAGAAGGATAAACGATCTGCACTGTGCGCATCGTGCGTGAAAACGTAAAGCGTACCCGGTGAGAGAGACGGCGAATCCCGCGAGTGCCGGCCGTCTCTTTCTAAAGCCGGACGCGGCGGATGATGCGCGGCGCGATCCATAGTTTCCACGGCTACGGTGGAGAGAGAGATGGCGCGAGAGATCGCTTCCGCGGGCGCCCGTGGGGCGCGCGCGGGAGGCGAGAGAGAGAGAGAGAGAGCAGAGGATGTTGGGGTTGGGTTGGTCGGGAGATGCGCCGTGAGCGAACGAGCGAGCGAGCGACACCGAGTGACACCCAGCGCGCGCGAGGCAGGTTATTCCGCCGGAGCGAGATCCATTGGTAAACATGCAGCCGCGGTATCGCCGCCGCGAGTGACCCGACGTGATTGCGCCCGACTATAATGGCAGAGAACCTGTCGAAACGGCCTTCCAAGGGTATCCTCAAGACGTCCAGCAGTTTTGACAATCCGGAGGCGCCTAGGTGAGACACGGGTTAATTGAATTTCGATACACGCTCGCGTAAAAATAGAGGCGGCGCGCCAATCCCGCCGTCTCTCTCTCTCCCTCCCTCTTCCTCTCGTCGACGTCGACGGCGGGCGAAGCGTGACTCCGCGTGTCACGCGCGCCCGCCGATCGTCCCGGTATTTATAAATCCCCGTGTCCACGCGGGCCGCGCGTCCGCCGACGGAGGAGAACATCGCCTTGGGCTTCCCACCCCGGGGATACGCGACTCGACGTTACGGCCTCTCGCTCCGGCATCGCCTCGAAAGCGCATTCGTTCGGCTTCGCGAGAGAGATTACCCCCCCCGTTGTGGGAGAAAAAAACCTACCGGGACTTCTTTCCTTAATTTTTTTTGTTTATCGGAATGCGCCTGTAAAGTATCCGTGGATTTCCGGAGTCGTTAAAGTTAAAGGGGGGAGGGGGAAGAAAAAGTAAAACCGGTTAAATACTCTTCAAGATGTAAAGCAATTGACATTACCCGGCGTCAGTAGTTGACATAGATTCTATTTTTAGACCCGACGATGAGCACCGTTATTTTTTATTTACCTTACATTAATGAAACTTGCAGACCGAGCAAAGAAACAACATGGGACGAGATGAATATTATCGCCACTCTTCACCCTGCCGACAAGGACTACGGTCACATGAAGATCGAAGAGCCAAAAACCCCATATAATTTCGAAGGCCTCCAAAATGAACATGAATTTGATCAATTAGATGCCAGCGCTCTCGCAGCGAAGTGAGTAGACGTAATCATTATACGTACATATCGATTAAGAACGTGACGTCAAGCTGTACGCTCGTACATGTATCTGATATTATTTGCTGGATTGCTAAAATTCAGATTAGCTGGAGGTAGTCAGCCGAAAATTTTTGAGGCATCCAGTGAAGAAGAGGAGGATGAAGAAACTCCTGAGGAAAAAGGTGAGACATCTCTTTTATTTTGCATAACATACATTGTTCACCGTTGACGCATTCGGTTTAGAAAGGAGAAGAGCTTTCGAGGCGAAAAGAAAGGGCCATTACCGAGAGTGGCATGCTGTACAAATGGCGAGACGACTTTTAGAGCAAGACGAATTGGAAGAAGAGGACGAGGATGGCGAGGGTAAAAACAATGAGGAGAATTCGTCGGAGGAAGAGAGCAATTTTGACACTCGATTCAAATGCATGCCGTCCTGTGATAGAACCGAAAAGAAATAAACGAGACACATCGATTAATTATTTTCCTTCTAAATCGTCCGTCACAGTCACCATTTCGCAGCAGTGTCGACTTCGCTGTTTAACGCTACCGCGACTAAAGTGTGTGCTCAGGCAGCAGAGAAAGTGTTTAACATCAATTACATTTAAATGCCCAAACTAAATTTCGCATTTTTAATTATGTATATATAGCACTTTTTCATTAGCTCCATATCCTCTGTAAATAAACATTTTAAAAACCTGAATGTTTAGCATAAACTGCTGTTAGATTTTCCAAGACTAGATAAAATAACATTATGAGCCAGAAACACTAATACGCGCTGTGCACGGGAAGATTCGTCGCGTTCAATAATCGATGTTGATTTTCATAGATAACAAAAATTATAATTGTTACTTCGTAAAAGCTTCGCTCGTCGTTTCGCGTGTATTATTACAGGCCTATCGACGTTGCTTCACGCAGCTCCTGTAAAATTTAATGTTTCTGGAGAACTGATCGCTATCAAAATTTGACGAACAATAAGGCTGAACGCAGCCCTTTCACATATAGTGAAAATTTAAGACGCTGTATGTACTATTTACAGTAAGAAAATTATATGTGTATTTGAAACTGTTAGTATGTACGTACTTACACAAGTTCTGTGATTAGCATAGGCATATGCTATGTAACCTCGGACTGTACGACTTCAAATTTTCGTTTCTTCTCGTAATGTTTGATTTTATTTTCCAAACTCTCTATAAAAGTAACAGATTACACGTAGTTTAAGTAAAACTCAGTTTGTACTAAGCGGTTTACATAGTGTAGGCCTGTCCAAGTTGATCAAATTATATTCATTTCTTTAATGATGTACAATTGATTGCAACGCATGGATACAACGAACACGAGTTTAAATGATAATCTGCCCTCTTTCATTTCCTACACGTCTCGTCCGTCAAGAAAATGATGACTAGGAGAAACATTTTGCTCATGAATCCAATCTTGGACAGGCTTAACTTGATTCGTTGTACTGTCGATAGAATGTACATTTAGGAAATTGTAATCTCAAGTATAGAACACGTCCAAACGCGGCGATATTGTGTTTAGTATAGTGTTAAAAAGAGGAGAACATAAAATCACGTATATGATCATCAAAGTATTTTGAGTGTCTGTATTACGGTCGAATACAAATCATTAAGACTAAAAACAGTGTATTTGTATGAATGGTATCTCGAAATTAATAAATGTAGGCTGCGTCTTAGATCAATGGTAAATTAAAAAAGAAAACGTTTTTGAATAACATATTGAAACTTAAGTAACGGCTTTACCGACAGATTTATGTTCACTAGCTTTGATAAAATTGATTATACACTTACCACACATTTCTCGTTTCATCAGTGGTTGATATCTTTTCGACTGTACTCCGAGAAGCAGGCAATCGCTTTGGAAATCAGTATTTTCATAGTTAACGAAATTTGCCAATTCCATCAGCATATTTTTTATCATTGTGGATCTGCGTATAACGAAACAGAAACATTGTTACAAAATCGATCACGTGTACAATTATGTGGATTTCTTTTTCAATAAACATACTTTATAGTATTGAGCGCCCAATCCTGTTGTAATATTTTAATAGTGTGTAACAATTCATTTTCGTCGATGAACCATTTTACGCTTTCATAATCGCAGTACCAGAGATTCAATGGAACGTGATGAGCCATATTGTACTGCGGCTTCTGCGGACAGGTATCAGTGTTCAGAAGCTTCAGGGTTATCTCGGGTTCCTCTTTCCTTTGCCCAACCAACAACAAGATGCCCATTAAACAACGAATTTGATGCCACAGGAAGGCTTGACTCGTAATTTCCAATTCGCACATATCATAGCCTTCAAATCAAAATAAAGGACTTGCCGTGCTATACTGTGATATTTTAAGGATAACAAGCAAGTGAAGAAATTCAATATTACCTGTAGACTTTTCCACGCTCTGACCACTAATGGTAGTCACTTTTGCATCAAATACAGTTCTTTTAAAATTAACTACACCATTGGCTACGTCCATTTTACAAATATTACGAAAGTCGTGATCTCCTACAACATACTTGGCAGCTTTGTCCATGGCATCTGTGTCTAAATTGCCTCTTGGGAAAAAGTACTTGTACCTTCTAAACTTGCAGTCGAATCTCGCGGAGAAATTAGACGCGACCGGACACCAGGCTATACACCTTATATTCGCTGGCAGTAATCTGTTCAAAATTTTACAATAGGGCAACTCGTCCGACAAGTTGTCTCGATTCTCCGGTTCCAATCTACTGCGTACGTCCAGCGAGATCACTTGCGCGAACGAGCTAACACCTTTATCGGTTCGTCCGCAACGATGGTAATTTGCGCTCTCGCGGGATTCTATGCAGCAGCTTTTTAACAGAGCTGCGAACAGATGATGCTCGATAGTGTCGCTGCTATCCTCCTGTACGGCGAAGCCGTGGTAGTCCCAGCCGAGATAATAAAATTTCAACATAATGTGCCTCTTGTGACACCTGCAATTCAAATTGTAGGATAAGTACGAGTGAGCTATAGGACTTGAATGAAAGAAGATCATGATGATGAGTTCAAGAGCAACATATTTACTTTGAAAAATCAAACGATCTTCTTCCTTTCCTTGGCTTCTCTTTCTCTAGTTCTGTATCCGTACTTTTCGCAATTGACGATTGCAGCTGTTCGTTGCGAGCTTCCAACTGCAATATCTTGTCGATCAATTCCTGCAAGCCAGAAACGTCCACGCGCAGATATTAATATACGTAACGATACAATTTTATCACGCCAAGTGTCGCACAACTGCGTGTTTACAAACGTCATACCGATTTGTCGAGCATCTCCAACTGTTCTCTCGTGCTTTTTCCTGTTTTAACGCGTTTCCGCGGGACCTTTGCCATCATCACACGGTCGCGACACCGAGACTAAGCCGCAGTAAAACACAGGAGTACACTTGCGGGTCCTCTTTCTGTCGAATAAATATTGCGGGCGTCGAAAGTACGGGTTATGTGTCACGCACGCTACACGTGTTCACAGAGCGCACACGATTCCTCGTGATCCGAGAGTGGAATAGATTCCCCTACTTTCGTGCCACATGCTGTAAGTGAGCTCTTCCAGTTGCTCAGTCCGGCTGCGTCACGGGATTTCGAAATAACGCTCCTGTTACTATTAGGTGTACAAATGAATAATCCAAACTTTTTTTAAGCGACTAAGAAAATAAGTTTAAATAATTATAATTTTTCGCTCTTTTAAGATTATGTAATTAAAAATTACATTTAATATGGCGGAAAGCTCAGCATAACTGCAAAAATTATTCAGTTTAGTAAAGTCAAAAATGGCAACGGATAAGGTGCATATCCTACATATGTCTTTCTCTTCTCAATAAGCAGCGTAGAAAGTCTTTCTTGTGAAAAATTGTTACGGGTGATGAAAAGTGGATACTCTATGACAATCCGAAACATAGAAAATCATGGGTAAATTCCGGCGAACCCACAACATCGGTCGCCGCAAAGCCTTTCTTTTAAAATAAATCTTAAATATAGCTGAAAATTTTGGATTATTCATTTGTACACCTAATAGAAAAGCATGACACGCGAGGAGGTTACTGAAAAAGTTTCACTTACCCCTCGCGGTCAATCGCTGCATTACCATCGCACTTACCGACAGCCGAAGGCTTGATTTATTACCGGCAACGCCGGTAATGCCGGCAATGCAGAAATTGACCGCGAGAGAGCACAGCGGTCTTCAACAACCTCCTCGCTCGTCATGCTTCTCTAATACCAGGAGCACTAGTTTGAGATTCCGGCGTGACGTGCTTACCAGGGTACCTATCGTGGAAATGTTCGGAACGGGGATTCTTCCGGCAGGAATAATTCCGTTTTCCTTAAAAAATGCACCCAATAAGAGATCTAGAACATAATTGAACAATTCTCCGATCAGTATTCCGAAAATTTCCATCTTCATTTCCATTTTCTTGCAGAATACGTTATATTCACGCTGTTACATACCATAACTTATAATACATATTTGTAATTTATTATTTGCTGCGAGATGCGTGTAGTATTTCTCGTCGTGCGTTAAGTGAACGACAAAACAAACATATGAGCGACACGGAAATGACGCCCCACGCATATTATGTCCAAATTTTCGTGCATGATCCGTTTACAAGTGTATCAAATCAAATGTGGTCGGAGATAATCGGATGTGTATACCGTTTTCTCTCTGGCTACATCTTACCACGTCTGATTTGATATACTTATAAACGGATGCATGAAAACATTTTCTCGAGTGAACAGAATTCGTTAATTTAATCGATGCCGATAAGTCCGCGGAATGTACATACACAGAACGTATGTAACTTATAGTCGCGAGCAAAGTAATGCAAAATACTAAGTACGGAATTTTCCATGACGTAGGCGGGGCAACGAATTCTCAACGGTTTTTGGTTGTTTTTCACTCGGCGCGGCATCGCGTACGGCGTCACGCGTGCCATCGTGTAGAAGGTCAACCGCGCTCACTCGCTCGCCGTACGTCGCGCCGGCAGGCAGTGGCGAGAGTCCGCTCCGTGTGTGTTATTACTTTTGCGTTGTCGGTTTCCAAGACTCGATCGCGATAAATGTAGGGATAAAACGCTATTGATTTGTACACTGCTATCAGTAACAAGTAACGTTCCTCGATTAATTATTGAGTTTCTGCAACTTGTAATGAGAACCGTACTTGCGTGTTGCGCCGACGGCTCTTTATCAACGTATACATGGACATTTTACGAGACTAACTACTCCCAGTGAGAAATGATTCGTCGATCGACGTCGAAACGACGTCGAATCGACATCGACACCGTCGAATTGACGTCGATTCGACATCATTTCGACGTCGATCGACGAATCATTTCTCACTGGGCTCATCTAAAATACGAATGTAACCGTGACAAAGATTGTAAAATATCGTTTCGATGCGGACTAATAACGACTTCTTTGCCGCATATTGTGCTTCCGATGCTCGCGTTGCGTTTTATATCGCCAATTCAAGAGCGTTTTATCCACTAACCTATTCTTCTGAATCAAAAATGTTAGTTTGAGTAATTTGTATGATCGAGAGTCACGCGATATTTGTTAATAATATTTCGTACGTTTCGCGATATTTTACGTCGCGTACGGGATGATTTTCGCGAGTGAGTATGTGAGTGTAAGTGCAACAAGGAAATCTGAGAGGATGAGGAGGTTCTAGGAGACATCGGGCAACGGCAGAGAAATCGGTGAGGTGAGTGTCTTATAATACATTTTTATATTATGTGCTACTTGTGCAAAATAAAGCATCTGTTCTGTGCATTTCTTTTATCTAATCAAATGATTCGAACGAGGATTCGAATAAGTGTTAGAGACGAATCCATACGTGTCAAATTTTGTGAGTTTATATTTAAAAGACTTGTTCAGTATTCTATATAATTATTTTAATAAATACTTATTATAAAAAATATAAAATAGAAAGTATATTTAATACAATAATTTATGTATTGTTGCAGTTTAACATATACAGTTAGCGATGTACAAGTTTGCTGTTGCGACTCGTATCAGTGAGTAATAAATTACTTGTTATTTTTAAGTGACGTTGCGCATACAATTAATTACGTCTTTGTATGCATACAAATTTGGTGAATTATGCAATGCTCAACCAAAAATTGCGCGCGTTCTGTCATTTCTAGTATATCTAAAACGCGAGTTGCAAACAGGACTTTATAAGACATTCCGTTACAAAGTTTTTACGCGATTTTTAACTTCAGTTGGAATAAATCTAATATTTTTATTTTCTCGACAATCCGACCGTAACTTGAGAATCAATTAAAAATTCCGAGCTCGCGGTGCAATTTACAGCGTCAAATCGAGCAAAGAAAACGCGGCGCGTGTTGCGGGTATATTTTTTAATTAAAAATTGGGGAATAGGTAATATTTAAAATTATACTTACTGCAGTAAATGCTTCGTGCTTGTAATGTGTTGAGGGCGTTTCTTTTCTCGTCGAACGAATTGTTAGCGAAAAGATATGTGCATTGTCCCCAATCGAAGGCCTCGAAGGACACAAAGGTTCTCAACGAGGCACAGTAGATTTCAATGTACAATTAATGAATTGATTAGTACACTCAATCAGTTAACAAACTATAATGATATCTTAATAACTCCTACCTTGCGAGTCGGTTATTTACACGATTTAATGTTATTATTAAACGCGGAAAGATTAATTTGGATTAACTGGAAGGCGAGACTGAGAGGGTGGGATGAAAAATTGCCGAGAAAGAAATCTCGAAAAGTAAATAACTAGCTATCGCGGAAAATAATAAAGGCGAATAATGCTTGTTGAATTTTGCAGTAAAACGTTATTTCAATAGAAATATTTTAATCCAAATGCGAATTTGTGCACGTGCACCAAAAATCTAAACCGATGCAACTTTCGCTGTTTGAATTTTCTATTTACATTGCAAAACTATTCAAAAAATGAATTGTATTATTACTGCTTTGTTTATTCATGATGGATTGTGATCGCCTGTTATATTCAAACTTGAACAGAGGAGTTACTTTTTGATTGCCACTTAATATGCAAAAAGATTTGTTTACAACCAAGTGTCAAAAAACATTGGAATAGCATTTATATGTGGCACATTTATAATAAATGGCATATTTATATATTAATACAATATGCACACATGACTGTCTGGCTTGTTTGTCACGGTCTAAATTAAGAAGATAAGTATTTATTGAATGACAGCCACTTTATTGAGAGTAGACAGCGGTGAACATTAAGATTTCGCCTTGCGCAGCAATTATCTCGATAGACTTTAGATAGTAAGATATCACACGTGCCCGTAACTTGTAAGAATCCTATCCTTTTCCGGCATGCTATCGATCTCTCACGTTACGACGAGCCTCGATCGCCTCGTAAGTGCACTCGTAGACTATTTTACTCTCTTCTACTGCAAAAAATAGGCGAGCTAAAAGGACGGGAACGCGACCCGCGACACTGTGTTCTTAACTTGATTCACACGAGAACGGGCTTTCTCTCTCTCTCTCCACAATCCCTTTGAATTTACTTATTTTTTGCAGAGTTCCTTCGAAATGGAGGTACGATGGATATTTTGAATGCGTGATAATTGACGATACATGCATTGTCTCTTGCGAAAATATATGTACAGGGGTAGAGAGATGCAAATAGTAATAATATATAAAAATGGATAACAATGTCAACAAATGTTAAATTACCTCCTTAGAATCGTTACTCCTCGCAAGTAATGCGGAGTAATTGATAATAAAACTTCGCAAGATACTCCTAGTTATATTGAGAAATCCTTGAATTAAAAGAAATCGGCGGGAATATAGAGCTTGCCGAGATCGCATGCTTAATCCGTGTTAACTCCGTTTCGGTTCTTATTAAAATTTAACTGCACTAGTCACATCACTCGATCGAAAGACTCGGAAGAAAGAAACTTTCCTCTTTGCGAGAAGTGGTACGAAAGAAACTGTACCAAGTTTCAGCGGCAATATTTCAGTTTCCAAGTCCGGCGATCGGATTTTGCAGAAGAAAAATTCCAGTCGATCACTTTTAATTCGCCCATTTTTCACAAAGACACGTCAGCACGTGACGTATGTATCTCAAGGAAAGAGCGCCTCGTCACTCTTTATCACACTCACTTAATCACCTTCGCTGCACGCACGCATACATTAGTCGCATATGTAGATTATATTGCTGTCGAGTTTTCTCCTATTTTTGTTTGCTCTTGTGACCATTTGTAAAAAACGTTTGGCATGGCTTGCCTACCGGCGACACCACTGACTTACGTAATTATTACGGGATATTAAGATCATGCTCTAACAATAGGAATACGAGTACAAACGCGTCGAGTGTTTCGTCATGCGTACCGACCGGTATCGGCCGGAAATAAATTTATCCTTAACTTATCTGAATATTGCACCGTGTTGTTTAGCGCGTCGTTCCTCCGGCTAAAACGTTCGAACGACGCGAGACCGTTATTGAGAGTCGCGATGTCGCCCTTGATGAATTTGAAATCGTTGTGTCGCTACGTTTAAACAACGAGCTGCGCGACGAACTTCCGCCTTCATGCCGTAGAACGGGAGGTATTGTTGCACGAGAACAAGGAACTGCGCTAAAAAAAAAGAGAGCGAGAGAAAAAGAAGAAAAGCGATCTTATCCTTTTCTTCCTGGACTCTCCGTTAACTTCGGTGAATATACGTCGCAAGTTACGTCGACTTAGGCCGCGCGCGCCGTCTGAAACCCCCGCAACTTAGGAAACTTAGGAATCTCTCGCGGAAATACTCACCGAGCTCTACTTTTAATGAGTTGACTCGCAAGTTGGAATAACGAAAACTCAATTTCACTCGTATAAAGGAGCGGTGTATCCGCTTTACCTTTCAACCGCACATTTTTCCCTCCGCGATCCGCATTCGGATACAGCCACCCCCGTTTTAGGGCAGGAGAGACGGTCAATTCGATTTCCCTGCGACCACGTCGTGGATTCGCGTAGAATGAATCGTGCTCTTCTATTACTCCTCGTAGAAAACGAAAGGATATGGAGGCAATTGACAATGCATGCATTGATTCGATTCGATTCGATTCGATAATTATCAGTTCTAGGGATATACCCGAAGGCATTTTATTAACATGCTCCGCCATACTCCTCGAGGTATTTTTGAACACAGCACCCTAGCGGAGAACGAAATATACTTGTGGTGAACGTTCACATAATTACCCCCTAGGATTGGCTAGACGCGCCAAGTTAGACGTGTGTACGTGTCTACGTGTCCATGTCCGTGTATATGTGTGTAAGTGTGTGTTTGTCTTGGGAAATATTCAATGAATATACATTACTTCGTAACATATATTTACAAACACATAGTTATTTATTTTAGAAATGTACGCGAGGGAAAACTTACTCTTAATATTTGTAAAATATTACCGCTTCTACCGCCTTCCGGCCTGAGATTTGGCGAGCCTCGTTAAAACGGGCGCTCGAAGGAGAGAACGGACGCGCTCCTAATTAACATGCTCTCGATATCTTTGCTTTAACAATCCTTACAGATTATATGTACACACATGCACACACATACATTCTCTCTTTCTTCCACTCTCACTCTCTCTCTCTCTCTCTCTCTCTTTGAAAAATACTTGTTAGCCGACGGAGACGCTTAAATGCAATCTCCTCATTCTCGTCGTCACGAACGAAAAATGCTTTACAAGTTGGAAATCATTACAACAGTCAACAATTAACTCTAGTTTCCGGTCTGCCGCGGCTGACAAATAGTCTTCTTTATTTTTTTTTTTTATAGATTTCCTGTAATTTGTCTTGTAAATATCTCGAAGGTATATATATTCGTTAATTAATTAACCGCGTTAACTAGAACTAGTTCAATGTTTCAAAGTCGCGTCACAAAAATATTCTTCGGTCGTACTAGGAAATATTTAAACAATATTTGTTCGCTAGGGTCTACCCCATCCTCTTTCCCTCTCCCCCGAAAGCGATACGCTATATCGATTGCATAGACGACCTCCGTCCCTACCTTCCCCCCGACTTCACCCTCTCGAAAATGCGTGTGCTATATCGTGGATACGTACCAAGTTTTTCCCTCGTTTGCTTCACCACAATGTTTGTTATATGTCACGTAACATGCTGCGTCACTAATGAGATACAGGATCTATTGACTGACGTTCAAGTAACTAAGTGTGCTCGATAATATCGCGCGCAAATCCGTACACTTACTCCGTTTACGTCTAGAACCGAATAACGACGATGAGACGAGCAGATATTGGGTTCTCGGGTGACTTTGAGTCTTCGAGCTCGCGATAGACTTTGCTGAATTTCTCTTTGGTTTTTTTTTTTTTTACCCTCTTTCTCCTCTTTATTTTCTCCCTCGTTTCGCCTTCTACGTTCCTACGCTTAAATAATCGTCGTCTTTAGAAAATATCTCTCGTGTGTTATAGAAAAAGTCTTACCTTTATTCGTCGACCGTTGTCTTTCTCGTATCTCGATGAGAGAGCTATACGATTCGAGCGTCATTATTACTAGAGCGTTATGTTACCCAATTTTCTTTTTCGTCCTCGTCCGCGCTTTACCGTGGATATATCGAGTGCTGTAGAGCGAGGACGCGAGAGACGGAACGAATAATTAATTAACCCGAGTGCGATGGCGTGGTAGCGCGGTGTTCCAAGTCCATCGTCATTTTTATAAATAAATCAACGGAGTGGTAAAAACCGTCTGAAATACGTTCGACTCAGCGATGCGAACGACGTCGCCGACCGCTCGCAACGATCTAAAAGACACGAACGCGCGAAATTAACTAATTAACTTATTGTTAGATAACCGATCTAGCACGCCCCGCACGATCGGTGAGTCCGTGACGGGAAACGTGATTTCGCGTGCGCGTCAACTCGCCGGCGCGGTGAGGAGAAAGCGTCAGGTCGCCGCCGGCTTGGCCGTTAGAGGTACTCGACGATGTCGCACTTGATGGATATATTCGGGCAACTAGCTATGTTCGAGCGATAGCCCCGCCTGGCAGTGCTCTTGTGCCGCTCGGTCAGGAGCTTCTGAAAGATGGGCAGAATCGTCAGATCCAGCAGTTCGCCATCCGACACGGCGCTGTACATCTTCGACACGTTCACCGCGGAACCACCTGCAACCAAGGTCGAGGACACTGGTCTCAACGTTCGTGGCGTTTTATTCTATCGTAGGCCTCGTTACATCCACGCCAAAATCTAGCACGCTCGACGTTACATCCTTCACTCTCGAAAGCAAACGTTCGAGGCGCATACACTTAAACACGATGTCCGAATAGACGGCTCGCGTATAGTTAACTTGGCGTGTATCACGCCGCTCCCTTGACGTACTCGAATAATGAAGATATGAATATTTCGCGAGACTCGGGCAGGTAATTATCCAATGCATTCAATTAGCCGGATATCAATAACTTGGCTGCTTAATTATGCTGCTATTTGGTCATATTATATACGTTGTTAATTTGTTGGCTCAACAATTTTGTTATCAAACGTTTGTTACCTACTTTACCATGAGTATTTGTAATTTGTCTCGCGAGACGCGACAGCGCTACTGAACACGGTACATGAATTCGGACGCAACGTTATTAATTTGCTACCAGTACTTAAACATTTAGTGTTTAATCGCGAAATCAATCTCGAACAAAGTGGTAAAGGTCACGTATTATGTTTCCAAACTGGCTTTCTCATATTTCAAATCATTATTGCATCGTAGGGCAGCCCACTGACTTTCGTTCTCTAGTTTTGGCGTAGGTGCAACGATATTTTTGTGCAGCAACAACTTTGCGGTATCTCGCTATCACGTAACAACATTATGTAAATCCAACTTAATTATTACGGAAAACTGACTATACGGCCACGAAATTTGCTCAATTAGGATTTGTAATTGTTAGGGAATTCTTTTCTTTCCGCAAACGTGCGCGTCTACGGCCGTTTAGTATTCCACAAATTTCCGTTGCTGTACGCGTAATCAACGAAACTGAGAGACGGTACCGTTCACGTCGCCGCTTCCAGCGCGCGCGTTCGCCGCGACGTGCTTGCCGTTGTGCATCGTCGCGACATTCGGGGTGCTCTGCACGTACTCCAACCGTGCCTGATGGCGCAGCTTCGAGCCCGCGTGACGGCACATCCGGCGCGCGACGCGGTGCGAGCACTCGACTATGGGGTGGCCGCCACCGATGTGCAGCCGCAGGCACTTCTCCTTCGTGCGCTCCGACATGGAACGCTGGATGATCGTCGACATCGACTCGTCGTACTTCCCTGTAAACAGAACACCTCATGTATCGTCTCACGTCCGCGTACAATGTCTAGAGATATCTAAGAGAAACCTAGGCTAAACGAATCAAATCTCGGATGCGAATGCCGGTTGACTTGGAAGGTTGAAAGAGAGAAACGTGCCGTTTCATGTAACAAGCTATAGCCTGGCGCGCTGTTTGCACGACTTGCAGAATAAATACTATTCGACAAATAAAAAGAAGCCCAATGAACGCAAATCAACCCTTAAAGCAATTCTTTCTTCTTTTCAAGTCACACAAGTAGAAGTAAGAAAATCACTTGCTTTACGTTATCAAAAGTGAAAATTCACTTCGAACTGCGGTAGGATTTTCCAACTGATATTTATCAAACACTTTTTTTATTCAACTTATGAATACCGCGCGCACTCTAAAGTCGGAATCTTTTTCAATACTCTTGTATATACATGTATTCTTGCAGCTTGCTCTTAAAAAATTGGTAGATTCGTAAAGCATTGTCATTTTCCGTAACACAAATTTTACTCATACGTGCGCCTATTGTCAAACGCGGGGACGCCGATTCTTACCGGCGTGCCGATGATTCGGTACGTATTGCAACGAAAAGGGCATCACGTGCTCGATGTAACTCTGCTCGTGGAGCTCGCCGAATGAGACGTTCTTGGTCGGCGGTGGCGTCGAGAGCTTCGCCCTGCGATCCTCCTTGCTCCTTCTCCTCACGCGGCACACGTGTCTCGCGATCTCGGTCTCCTCCAGGATCACGGAGTCGCCTTCCTCGACGACCGGCGGCACGAAACCGTAGCGCGCGGTCACGGCCTCGCTCGGCAGCGGCTCCGGGCTCCTGTGACGCTTCAGCAACGACTCCCCGTCCTTGGCCACCTCGTCGGGCTGGCTCTTGCGCCGCGACGGGTCCATGCCGCACGTATGCTTCATATGCGTCATCGTCGTCGGCGTTGTTATCGTTGTCGTTATTAACGATAGCGACGGCGGCATCGCGTCCAACGCCGCCACAGCGCCCGGAGAGGAGCTCTCCTCGATCGCTTGACTCGTCATAGCCATTCTCTCGGTGTCGATGATGATTGACGTGGCCTTCGAAAGGGACGCCCTTTTCCTAAAACAAGCACCACGCGACTACCCTGAGGATGGACGGCGAACCGAGTGTACCGGAAACTTTTGACTCGTGGTAAAGCGGGGTAAATGGATTACCGAAATACTTAAACGTTTGATCCCCTTTCCCCTAACTTTCGAGAAAAGAAGTGAAAAAGGAATGGACAAATTCAAAATGATGTGAACGATCTAGAGTTGATTGAGTTGATAGAAGACGTTTCTGAATTCTGTTAAGTTTCTATTTTATGTAACGCTTCGTAGAATTACCATCGAATTCTCTCAACGGTCAAACGAATCGATTAATTATTTTTGCAAAATAATTCGTCTATACATAATGGTCCATTTAACTACGTTCCGTGAAAGGGTTTCGGTCTAAAGGTGGAGTTTAATATCAAACGTGATTACGTACTTTGCTACTTGATCCACGTTGACGTAATCACCCTCTGGCTGCGAAACGGTTGATGAGTTCAAGCTGCACATGGACATTGATACATCGGTCGTCTCTGTGGTTATCGACGGTCCTGTCAAATAAATAAACCGAAATTATTAATACGGTGATTTAATGTTATCCATCGTTCCGCATACATTAAACTGGCGCAGAGTTTGTAATTTGTCCATTACTCTTGATTTAATTAAAATTCACAGTCCGGAATATTAAAAAGAGGGGGGCTTTTTGAAAAATTGTCTTCCGCGTGAGAAAAATATTACAGTTCATACATTAACATTTTAATTAATAACAACGCTACTTTGAAATTCCGTTTTGAATTTTATTCGACAAATAGCAAAATCTCTCTTAATAAGACATTAAATGGAATGTTTACCTTCCTTTTTAACGGCCTCTTCTGGCTTCGGGACCGGCAACGTGTCCACCGTCTCTTGCGTTTCGTTCTCAGCCTCCTCGCCCATTCTCCTTAAAAATCCCTGAAGTAATGTGCAAGATAATGAAATAACTTGCTCTGACCGCCACGCAGGAGCTCGATATAAGTGCGACATTTCTAGATTAAGTACAATATTACTTAAGCGTGCGAGTGTACTGAAAGCTCGTCGGAGTAATTTTAGATCGTTATTCTCAGAGGACAAACTGCACGAAGCAATGACGACGTGATTATTTATATATAACCGAATTAAGAACGGTGCATCGTTCGCTTTTCCGAACGTTAATCGAAAACCGCTATGATCCTCCCGCAAATTAGTCCACCACGCGGATGAGTGTTTTATTAAGTAGCATATATTTCGACAAGAAAACGTGAAATTTTAGCAAAATTGTTAGACAGAGGCAAACATGGAATAACGCAAATTATTATCCAATATATATTTTTTCATATATTTACAATTTTTCTTCATTTTCAACGAAGATTTAGTCTTTTCAATAAAGCTTTATTTCGTTGCTAACATTAAAAACTGATTTGTCGCAAAAGTTGGAGGAATAGAGACGGTTCCGCGATAGAAGGCGTAACGTAGCCGTCTGTGTTGCAAGTAATTCTTGCCAAGTAATGCCGTTTGGAAGTTTGACGAACGGAAAAACTTACCTGAAGCTCGGAATCCTTTTGCAACAATTGCTTCCGGAATTTTTTATTCGTCAGCTTCGCCTCTTTTAAACGCTCGTCGAGCTCGCTGACCGTCGAGTCCCTTCGTATTTTCAACATCGGCCTCAGAGTCGCCCTGGTCCGCTTATTTATCGCCCCTTGTGGATTTCTGCGTAACTCTATTACCTGAAAATCCCAAGAGACTTACTTGGCTTCGCCGGTCTCACCCCGAGAATAGAATAGGCGTTTATTATCGTTCTAGGGCAAGTCCTTTAAAAACATGAGCATAAAAAAAACATGAAATGTGTTTGAAACATTAACTAAAACAACTGTGTCAAAATTGCACAACGGAAAGAAAAACTTTATAGATAAATACTGCGAAATATAGACAGTACACATACATACTCTTTTTCTCTAGCGATGTAAATACAAATATAAATATAAATGGTAATATAGTAAAAAATATAATTAAAAAAAGGCGCGACAGATGTAATTGAAAAGTCTCTTTAAATAAGTGTATCGACTTAGAATTCCGAGCAGACTCTTGGAAAGAAAGCTCTATCAAAGATTCTGTGCCGTAATAAGAAGCTTGCAGAAGAGTGAGCGCGCGATAAATGGATAGTATCAAAGTAATCAATAGTATCATGCTTAAATGAAGGAGAACTTTTGTCAGACTTTGGCGATTTAAATCCGTTTGACAAAGTTTCACTTGGAAAAATGCTAAGCGGAAAGCATTCAATGAAGTAATCTCCTCGAACGTCTACGATCGAAGGTCAGCCGGCTTAAAATGCAAAACAGATAAGATGGAGAAACGTACCTTAGGAATAAAAACCAGACAAAGAGTGGCTGTACTACAAAATATAATGAACACCGCCAACATTATGAACATGGCGTCTTGTTTGTCAGTGAGCACGAAGCTTATAGCTGCACCGGTGACGCACATTATAACAACGTTGTATACGCTCATCCCCACGTATTTACTGTCATTTAATGCCGGTATACTAACGTGCCGCGTTTCCCATGCCAGAAAGGCACCGAATATCTGAAAGCCGAGTAAGTGCCTATCGTATGGCCATTTTATTCGCCGAGGCGCTTAGCGATGCAGCTTAACTTACCATTAAAAGGCCTTTGTATGCATATATGCAAAACAGATAAATATTCATTTGATTGCTCTGACAATACTCGTTTTCCGGGATGATTATTATATCCTCGCTGGAAGGGTGATGCTGCAATCGAGAGGCAATTCGCTCGTATTAACGCGGGCGCTCGATACGCGAGTTGAATTATGACAGAGGATAGAGAAATGTCAAATTGTGTAGAAAATTTATTGGCACGTATGTACGCGTAAACCTTATATAGATATTTGGTACTCACATAGGGCTCCATTTGCTTTATCGCCCGATAAAATGGATCGGCCACTTGCCACGTTGTCATGATCGTGAGATCGACCGCCAGCAATATTCCGACGACCATGAACAATTGGTAATCTTTTATCACCTGCATCACGGTACGGGCTTGTTAAGGTCGAACACGAAAGTGCGCCCCGCGTTCCCGTTACGGTCTCGTTAACGAGTTACCTTCTTATTGAGCTTCACGTCGGTGAATATGGAATGTACACGCCACGTTTTCGAGAACATGGAGCCGAAGGCCAACGAGAAACCAGCCATCAAGAGCCACGCGCGGGCCGTACAGATGTACGGGAAGGCCGCTACGCTCGATAATTGTGAGTCTAGTCCGAGGAAGATAACGCTGCTGTAGGTCAGCATACAACCGATGATGATGAGGTTGTTCAGATGAGGCGATGACATTTTGATGTATCTGTAATATTGAGTTTCGCGTGTGAGCCGCGCACGTTGGCTCCCCCGGGGGGGTTCTGGCAAAGTAATCTGGGAGCCAAATGGAGGAATCGTGTTACGCGCGTGTTCTATAATTGTTACGTATTACGGCGGAGCCGTCACCTTTGATTTCTGTATCTGATATTGATGGCGAGAAAAATGGATGCCATGACGATACCGACACTAGCGGCCGAGGCTAGCACCGCGTACAGCGTGATGTCCACGGTGGAGTGCTCGATTATGCGAACCGTCCTGTCTTTCGGCGGCGATTTGCCGTTCCACAGCAGGGCCTCTCTTCTCGTCAGGTCCAGGATGCCAGTAATGCTATCGTACTCGCCTACGTTTACCTCGCGGCCGTCTAAAAGGATCAAGAGCCGATGAGACAACATACCTATCTCGCGTCCGAAGCGGTTCATTTTTAACGATCTCGTTTCAACGTCCCGTACGCTTCTTAAAACGCATCGGCCGCCGCGAAAAATACACGCACCGACCCGTAAATTACGCCGCGACTGTGAAATAGCCGGTTGTCGATATCGAGCAAAAAAAAATAGTACCTGGCTAAAAACTGACGTAAATATATATTTTATTCATGGCGCAATGTAAAAGGATTCTTTTGTTGAATTAGAGTTGCGATCCGCGCTTTCCACATGACATATTTTCCATTCAAATGCCTTTATTAATTGCTGCACTGCAAGCCAGTGCTTTGAAATTTATTTCGAAATAGGTGATTTAATTTATCTGTTTAATATTAAATACAAAACTCTCTCTCTCTCTCTCATGCGCCAATATCGAGAACAAACTTACCCAGAAATTGTTTTAGAAGAATGTACGCTTTCCTCTCGTTGTCATAGAAGCGGACTGGCCCCTGCAAAATTTTATATTTCTCACATCCATGTCGCGTTATTATACAGGACGGTTACCACAGGCGATCGGGATCGTGGGTGAATCGGATTTTAAAATAAAAGCCCGCTCGCCGATTCAACTCGCTATCAACTCATGCCAATTTGCCCCGCTAACTCGCCCGGCGGTTTGTCATGTTTTTGATTTCGTTTTAATTTCAATTCGGTTCACCGCCGATCGGTCCCATTTTCCCGCACTGTTATTGCTACCGTACACACACACACACACACACTGACACAGGTATGCATCCCTTTTTGCTAAAACGCGCCCGACCGTGCAGTTGCAAAGCACTGCGTCACGGGTATGTATACGAATGAAAGAAAAAGAGAATAAAGAGAAAAAGGGCGAAAAAAAGTGCAACTCATTAAGTTGGCCGGTAACGCTCGCGCGGTTAGGCGCGCGTAGAAAAGTGATGGCCTGAGCTTCAAGACACTCGGGGGTCGGGCAAAAAGACGGTCAAGTGTAACACGCGCGCCCAGTACGAATGTTGATTACTGAAGAACACCCCGTCCCGTGCTCCTCCTCTTCCGCGTCTCTCTCTGCCCGCGACAGATACAAAGTGCCGAGCAGCTCGTCGTCGTCGTCGTCGTCGAGCCCACGCGCCCGACGATCGAAAGCGCAAGGGTTGCCGCTCGTCTAATGAGAGAACGTAGAGATCCGCTCTCCAATCTTCGCCTTTCTCTATAAACGTCTTCTTCTCCTTTATTCTCCCTCGTCTTTTTAAGCGACTTCCTCCCGGCTCCGCAATACCCGGGGGCAGTCTCTCGCGCCAACAATGGATATCTCAATGCCCTCGACACAAATAACAACTTGGCGAATTGGAGCTAAGTGACGCGAATCAATCGAGCGCGGAAAGAGAAATATTTTGCTTTGAGCTGCGGAAATTATCGTTAGAAGGGCCAGAGCGAAAGGTGATAATCTCCGGCGAATTTCTTTCTCTGCGACCGTAGGGGGTCTGGACAATTTATTGCGACTAAATACAACGAGCGATGTACAATTTATTTTGCGAAAGCGGACAAAAAAGACTTAAAAATTGAATTAAACATTTGCAGTATACATATTTCCGGACTGCGTTCTCTCGACTCGAAAGTTTGATATCAAGATAGACAAATTAAACTTGCGAAACATTAAAAAGTCTTACTCTCTTGTAGTCGTCTAACTTCTTAGATACCTTTTAGAAAGTCGTTAGCAACCGATGGCGTCAACGAAAAGTACCCCGTAAAATCGTAATTTTCTGAAAGAGAATTACTTTCCTTCCCGAGGAGATTTTCTGTTTATCAATTACGGCAGAAAACGTTAACTCTTTCATGACCGAGTTACTTTCTTCCCGTCGTTTTTTCTTTTATACTCGTACATTTTTTTCCCTCGGCGAACGTACGCCAAGTCACTGAGCCCTTTTAAATTTTGCAGGCGAGAACCCGTACGTTCTAGCAGTTACGAAAGGTACTGAATAAGTACACGGATCAGAGTCGCAATGCCTTTTTAAAGGCTGTTTAAAACCACTTATCGGCGATAAAGTAGGAACGGGAAACGTCATCTAAACTTGCTTATCCAAGATAATCTCGACAGAAAACTGCTACCGCTGTTTATGCTTGCCACGGCGGCACATTCTATAATGGCGCGGGCGTTCGTTTTCAGCACTAAAGGTTTTATGTCGAATGACATTATCCGGTTTGTGTTGGGCGCACGGGGGAGAGAAGGGGGTGTCGTTGCGGCGTGAAATTGCGAGGAGGGCCAAGCTTACCGTGACACCGTCGAAGCTTGTATTCCTGAGGGCATCGAGGAAGAGCTTCTCCCACAATACGTCCCTGTAGCGAAAGTCGGATATAGTCTGGTTGCGATGGAAGTGCCGTATCCTGCGCGCGACGTGTTTCACAGCCAGCGCGACCGTCCAGATGCCGTCGTACGTGTATCCGTGGAACCTCGAGTACTCGCTGCCCCGTCTCGAGTTGTACTCGGATTGATACTGGTCCGGGGTCTGGGGGGTGAAACGCATCAAACCGAATGCATGGAGACGCGCAACAGGCATGTGCCGTCGCGTATGACGAATCTCAAAGAGTCGTCGTATACACGTAGTTTCCATTCGAACCTCGCCACCTCCCGATCGCTCCGTGCTCCGTGGCGCGATTAAACGCAATTTTTGGGGACCCGATATTCCATCAGAAATGCACTCGAGCGGATATACGTGGGTACGATACTCCATCTGCGGATTCTTCAGCCAATCTGAATCGCGATGCCTCCGTAATCCTCTCGGAATCGTATTCGGCTACTCGCGTGGAATGGAAGAAATAACGTTCCGCCGCGCCGCGCCGCGCCGCCGAGGAAAGGAGACGCCTCGGATATGATTAAATTAGATTTAACGGGGAAACGATTTTTCGACCGATTCTAATTCAGAGGCCAAGTAATTTCCGAGCCGGGATTCGAGCTGCCCGGAGCCATCCGCGCGGATTTAATCGAGAAGCAACGATACTTGGCAGTCTCAGCGCGGCAGCTACTCACGATTCCGGACGTGGTGTGCTGCTCCTCGGTCGTCAGCGGAAGCAGATCCGTCAGGATGACACCGTGAAGAGCCTCGGACAGCTCGGAAGGGGCGCATCCGCCGCCCGGGCGCAACCACCACTCTCTGGTGTACGTCCCGATGATGACCCACTGATACTTTCTGCCGTACAAGCCGAACCTGTAAGCCTCGCAGAATATCTTCCTGGCCCATGCCTCGTTGAAATTTCCCAGGAGAATCCTCACGTCCCTCTCCTTGAGCTTCTCGAGCGCCGTCGTCACCTCTGTGGCAAAGCTCAGCGTCTCCACGAGCTCCATTTTGCTCTCGTCTAGATCGGCCACCAACCGATTATGCACCTGGAAACGCGATTCACAGGGTGGGATGCGGCTTGAGGGGGGGGGGCGAGAACTACCGCTTTCAATCCGAATGCTTATCACGTGCCATAACGTGAGCGCATTCGCGCATTTAGCTTGTTCAAGCAGGCCGCTAGCGATGGCAAATCTCCATTTATAATGTAAATGGAACAGTTGCTGCATATACATCACCAACGCCCGCGAGCGCGCGCGTGGAAAACGACGCGCTCTCTCGCGACGGGATTAATTAACCCTTTCATTTTCCCGAATTGCCTCCAACTGTCGAGAACCGCTGTTTGAATCGCTTTCTTAATGCCGCGGAAAATATATAAGAGAGTCTTGAGATTCTCAAAAGATGTCCTAATTTCTTTTCATAATATACCGAAGGAAAACCAGCGTTATTCGCCGTGTAAACGGCATCGTAGTAAATTTTAACCACCGCGTTCGTGGCAAAAACAAAAACGCGACTCCGAGGAGACCGTGGGGCGAAAAAAAATTTTGTTTTAAATTTCGTAAATTGCGTCTTTCCCCTCTTTTTCTTTGCTGCGTCAAGATCGGCTTTACCAGTGCGTATCTGGGCTCGTTCTGATAAATCGTGCCGACCCGGGTCCAGTTGAAGTGCGTGAGCAACGCCACTCGCGGCGCGTTGAGGGCATTTTCCGACGGCACGACCCTGAAGAAATTCGGGAAGCTGTTGGTTGTGAACATAGGGTGGGTGTCCGCGTAGCTGAGCTGCAACAGTAAGGATAAAAGAGGAATTGGTAAAGAACCGCATTCTTACGACCCTCGTGCCTGTGTGTCCGTTCCTTTTCTTTCTACCACTCCCGCCGTGCGTGTGCGCGTGACTCTGTGTGTGTGCACGAGTATGCAAATAGGCAGAAGAGCAAGAAGGAGGACGGGTCTCTCCGCGAACCATGAATATTTACGACGACGTTTTACCGTCGCATTACCTGCGTAAGGCGCCAGTGCTTCGAGGCTTTCGCTATCGGATCCGTGACCTGTGTGCAAGCACCACCGAAGAGTATCACCTTGTGCGGCCCATTGTGCATCATGTCGAAGAACGCCTTCATCCCGACGGCGGCACTACACTGCAATGCACACGATTTGTCATCCATTAATACTTTCGCGCTACGGGCTTCAAGATTCTACTACTGGCTTCGGGATTCAAGGCGAGCTCGAGGGAATGTCTGGGGACCGTCTGGCAGAAATCGGGGGAAATATTCGAAATACGAGATGCCCGAACGGGAAACAGTTTAAACTGTTGTCGCAAAAAATATTAGGCGCGATATTGCGGAACGCGTCGTTGCGCTCGCTTTTCCTCGCGCTTTCACGGTTTGCGTTTGCGTCAAGATGAAAAGTGATCATTTCTTATATCGAAAATCCTCTTTGATATTTGCGGAATCAACAAGTGTTTGTTGGTGTACAGCCAGAAAATGGAGAGGAAGGAAGAATAGACGCCAGATCGGTAGAAAGGGGCGAGTATCGTCGTAATTGTAGACGTCATCTCCTAATTAGCGGGAGATCCACTCGGAAGCTCGCGCGGGATTAAAATTGCGATATTAATAAATCTGGAGTAATTTAGAGCGCGTAAACCCCTTCGATTTTATCACGGACGTAGAAAATATCTGGACGGAACGTAAAGTACCCTTACGGACGCGGGGAGTCCCCTCTGAAGGGTGAGGGGAATCTATCGTCGCGGCCATCTTGGTGCCGGATATTTAGTGTCTATTGTCACATCGTCGGGCATTGTACGGCGTCAACTTAAGATCACTGCAGTAATTTCTATTTTCCGATTCCGGTCATTAATTCTCGATAAATATTTAAGTTATGATTATTTCATGTGTATATATGAATGTTTATTCGATATACATTCACGAATGTTATAGCAAATTTGGTTATCCGCATTATTCCGAATTAATGCGCATTAACGGCTGCTACATAAAAAATATATATTTAACACCATAATGATAAAATAATATCTTGCACTTTTACACTTTAGTATACTATGTACGATTGGTTATGGTGTCTGCTAATTCGATGTAATACATACATCTTGATTCGTTCCCAGCAAACACCAAAGCAACAATCGCGTAACATCACTGCAAATGTAATGTAACAGGCATGTGTTACATTACATTTACATTGATGTTATGTAACTGTTACTTTGGTGTTTGCTGGGTTATTAGTAATCAATATATAAGTGATTCATATATATAACTTAGTTTTGCATTTTTTTCCAAGTGAAAAAGCTTTATTCCTTTCAAGGCGTGAAAATAGATTACGTTCCGTGACGCTATCGAGTGTTGCCATCTTGGCACCTCATGTCCGTTACAATAGACATTTCATTCCCCTCACCCTTTGCGGACCACCCCCGCGACGCTATGCTCCGTCCAGGTATTCCCACGTCCGTGGATTTTATTTACTTCGGGGAGGGAGCACACGGAGAACTCTAACTATTTCATGCCGTAATGGTTTTTTTTATCATAATAATAACAATAATAGCGAAGGTATTTAAAATATTCCGTCGAAGGAAAAACTTTGTTCTCGCAAGTTGAATTTTTGCAGGAATAAATTTAATGCGAACGGTATATAAGCGCTTTGTGCGTTGTAGTTGAAATAACAGTTACAGCAGGCAGGGATGATCTTTGAGCCACGAGTTATATCTCAGCGACGAACGATCATTGGGACTGACATCGCATATTCCGTTTGAGTCACGGTGTCTACATGCCCCTTTGATATCAGCACCGTTTCGAGGGTTCTTTTTCACGTGGAAATTGATTCCAACGTATCGCTACATTCTCTTTGCGCTCGCCGTGGATGACCCCGTTCCGAAGACAAGATGTAAAAGGATATAATTGTACAGATGAAAATAGGAATTCTGGCTGGACAGATACGGAACGAGAGAAAGAGGGAGATAGAGAGCCCCTCCCCTCCTCCCCCCGGCGTACGAAGCGCTGAATCTATTATGAGCAGTCTGAGATCTCCAGCGAAATCAATCAAGATTATTTTGAAAATAGAAACGACTCGTTGCGAGCAAGCGACACTTTCCTCAATCGCTCCGTCGCTGACGTCGCGCGCCCATTATTTTTCTCCCCCGTGCGCCACATCCTTCGTCCGCCGTAATTACGTCGCAAGCTACTTACTATCCCGCGTTAATTCTTTATTGCATAAAAATTCATAAGGGTGAGCGCGACTGTTCTTCAAAATTTTTTTTAAAAAATTATATCCACATTTATCGCTACCTGGGGGGGATTCCGTCTCGCGTTTATTGCACGTCCTCTCGTTCTATTTTGCATCGATTTCCGATATACCGGTTATCACAGCGCAGAGATAAAAATCCGTCCTTGGAAATTACGTTACCAGAGAGAATCGTGCAACTCGAGGAAGAACTCTAAGTTCATTAGTCGCCGTTTAACGAACACCATATCAGAGATCCGTAAAGAAGCTCGCGGGGGAGCGTGAATCCCGAGCCTGTTTCGGACGCGCTATGGAAACGTTAGCGAGAGTCGTTTCATCGACTCCGCGTGCAACGCGGGAGCTGCCGCATTGTTGCGGCATTAAATGGCAAAGAATAATCCGCCATTGTACGAAAGAAAAGGTGGCGTCTGCTTTGCGCTTAGAGACGTCTCGGGTTAAAATCACGAGAGCGATATCGATTCAACGGGGCGGCAGATACCTTAATTATGTTATTGCGTGTCGCGGAGCGCCCGTGCGGAAAATTCGTCGCGTCGAAAAGCAGTAATTTCCTTGCTGCTGCGAGAGAGAAAGAGAGGGAGAGAAAGAGAGAATGGGAAGAATTAATTTTAAACTGCATCGCCCGATTACACGGTTGAATTAATCAAATCCGATGCGCATCGATCGGCGAGCGGGAAAAAGCGGCTCGCAGTGAAAAATACACGAAAATAGCCAGACGCGTGTCTACACGCGTGTTCGCCGTAGCTACTGCTCGCGCGGGCACTTGAAAGTAGCACGTGGCTCGGTGCTACTGTGTGCACCGATCGCGTACACGGCTCACAATATCCTTTCGGCAAGTAATCGGAAGCGATTAATCTTTCCCGTCTTCCCGTGCAAGCTGCTCCACTTTTTGTCGTCAGCTCAGCTTCCTCCGGGGGGGCTAACTTGGAGACTCTCATAATTCGATATGTCTGGAAGTCTCAGCGATTTTCCAAGCGTGAGCGCGCCGTGTCGTAAATCGCGACACGATTCTCCGGGTTCAGCGAACGAGAAATTATGTTGAGGAAGGGAAAAAAGAACGCTGTTTCACGGCTGTTTACCTTCCATTGCGAGGAAAAGGGGATAATGCTGTATTACGTGGTTGCGCGCGGACTAACGTTAAATGTACATGTATATATACACATATATATATATATAAAAGCGCGTCGCGCCTTATCGAAAGTACGCCGAGTATATTTAACGAGATAATCTTCTTTGCATTCTTTCTTTCCGGTCAGCGGACGCTCCGGGTGTGAGGCACGCGTGTAGAAAATTTCCGACAGGTCTCTACATCTGCTTTAGTGGTGCCATATTTCGCGGGGCGGCCGATAAGAGAGCAAAACAGCGACTCGAATCGCGCGTATAACAATAACACTCTGTGCGCCTTTGTTAGAGGCGCAATAAGTGTCTCTCTCTCTCTCTCTCTCTCTGTCTCTCGCGTCACCGGGGCGAAATAAAATTCCCTCGCGGTCGGGTGCTGTAAGTGAAAGAGAGGGCCGAGTGCCGAAAATATCTTACGTCGAGTGCCTCCCGCAAATCTTGCCGTTTCTCGAAATGAGAAAGCTGTGATTTACACCGTCCCGCAGTTCCGCTCAACGACTCGCCCGCGCATTGTTTTTCATAGGCATCGCCGCGACCCATAGCGCGCTCGCATAAATTTCCATCCATAATTCAAAGCGCGCGCGTGCACGTGCGCTCGCTCGCTCGCGGATCCGCGCCCACCCCCTTCGCGGATGCAGACGTCAGCCATGAAGGGACCTAATTCCGCGAGACTCGCGCGCGAGTTCGTACGGGCCGTCCGTATATAGTTCCAGACGCTACAGAGAAAGGTAAACGTAAAGTTTTCCCCTTCGAAGTTGCAGTCGCGGTCGGGTATCCTTGACTCGGGCGTGCGCTCCTACTCCGGCAAGTTTTCTCCGCAATTTCCCCATGTCTACCTTTCTAGTTCGGGGCGACTCGAGAGAGAAAGAGAGAGAGAAAAACACGGTCGGCACGCGGACGGAAACCGGAACGTTGCGTCTCGCGATCTCCCCAAGATCCGCGCCAGAAAAATGTGTACGCGATGCGACCGGTAGTCGCGCTCGCGGGACGAGCGATCGTTTGTATCGCGGTGGTAATCGCGCCCGCGAGATCGAGATGGGGACTCCGCGAAATTCGCGACGATCGCTTGCCGTCGCGATCGCGGCGGTAAACAACGCGATAAATCGTCCCGCGTCGATAGCTCCTAATTCAGCGGAAATTGAGATACAAGTGGCGGTTGCTGGCTGGATGTATCGACCGATGCGCAACATCGGCGATGCCTGGCAAAGGCAAAGCCCAGCCCTCCCTTCCCAATTCTCTCTCTCTCTCTCTCTCTCTCTCTCTCGGGACAATGCGTTCACCCGTCAAATATTCTCGACAGATCCAAATGCGTCACGTTCGCGCGGCGAATTTTGCTCGGCGCTGCGCTGTGATTTCGGCGAGTTAATTCTCGATGCGCCGAGTGGAAAAAACGTATTCCGCGTCTGTCCCCATTACCATTATCCCGAGTAGTGCAGAGATCATTTTCGCGCGGCTGTAACACGGTGATTCGTAATAACGACTTTATGTTTTCAGTCTCGATGCGCCGAGCGAATCGGAGCGTGTTTTAAAATGTATAATGTAACAGGGTGGCGCGCGTACGAAAAAATCAATATCAATAAAAGTTTTATTAATAACTAGCTAGCGAGTTACGGGTGTACTTGGTACGACCGTTTTTCGCCGGTGCCGTTTCAAACGAATATAAATACGTAATAGTTTCAACATTTATTAATCGGTTAATGTTTAAAAATGTTGTTACCTTTTGGAAAATATTAATGCCGCAGCAGCGCGCTACCAAGATACATATAACGCCGGGTCTGGTGTTAAAATTTCAGATGAAATTCGCCCGGCCGTTTTTAAACAGCGCTCTTTCGAATAAATGAAAAAAAAAAGGGGAGATTACGAATTACTCAATTAATTATTTGTTGCAAAAACATTAGCGGCTTTCACCAATTGGGCGAGCGGTTTTCCGTTGATATTGTTTCGGAAAAAATAAATGTGCGGACTCAATTTTATTATTAGACTAGATAAAAGAATAACGGATGACACGTCTGCCGCCGATGGAGGCCATTTCCAGCACACTTAAAAAAAAAATGGTAATAACATTTGTTGACCCACTAACCCATTAAAAATATAATTGTCAAGAATTTCATTAGATTTCCCACTGTGCAGTATTATTCTCGGGAAAATTTTAATAGCAAAATCCGAGGTGCGAAATTTCCAGAAAAGAGGAGTCGAGCTCTGTAGCGCTCGACGATAGATAATGGCGCGAGCATGGTCGCATACGGCCTGGCGCTATTTTTATGCACTTGACGTCGAGACGCTGCCGCGTGATAATAATAACATAGCAAAATAACTTTTCAGGATGTAATAACGCGAGCTACCCTTCCGCGCGTGCGCTCGCGTCAATCTGTGTAGAACAGATGAGGCTGCTTTAAAAAATCCGATGATAGATTTGACGGAGCGAAGCGGGACCGAGTCTCCGCGCCTTTCGGCGTCTACAAAATGTTGCATTCTCTTATCTGATATCGCGCGATAAATACGTACACGCGTTTTCCATCTCTTTCGTTTTGCAAAAGTTTCCCCAGCGATAAAAATTGATTCGTTCCTTGACCTAAATTTCAAATTGCATTTTCGTACGCTCAAGTCCAATTCTATTTCCATTATCTAGTCGCTACAGGCGTATACACAGCGATATTTTTAGGCGAAACTTGAACAGATTTTCTATTATGTTGCCAAACGAGCCATCAATTGTTGGTTGAATTGAATTGGGTCGATAAGTTGCATAAAAAGGGGTATCGTATACGTTTAACTGAGATACCGAGAACGGTGGAAACAGATACCCTTTTTATATTAGCGGATATACCGATTGCGAACGATAAGTCTACGTGATGACGTTGCGTAAACTCTGAATCTGTTTCCATCATCCCTTATCGGCCTCTTCTATGTGTTCAGCCTTGTATATATCTAATAACGAGACATGTTTTTCTTCTTATCAAAGTCGGCGTATTTACCGGTGGGTCTAACATTTTGTTCTCAGCCCGGCGCACGGCCGTCCGTACATACGAGTTTTATACGGATTTTATATATACCGGTACAACGTTTCCGTCCCTCGGAGCAACATTAGCCGGACCAGTTTTGTTACGTTATGTATTTTCAAGGAATTTCTTATGGACATGCAAAAATCTCGTCCGATAGTTTTGCTACATTACATGTTTTTAAAGGACCCTTTGGTAGACTACGGAAATTCAACCATCCGACAATTGTGCACGTTTGCATAGATTTACGATTTTTATCAACGTAAACGTTTGTAGGCGGGTAAGAAGAGGTCCCAGTGTTCTCGCGCTATTGTAGCACAAGTTTGCAGAAGCCCTGTTATATATAAGCGGAGAATTAGACAGAAGAGAGTATATAGATCCCCTATTATGAGATAGCGCGACCCGCTCGAAATTTAATTGAAAGATAATTATTATATTTATTAAAAATGTCCCGGAGCAAAATTTATAGAGGCAAGTCCCCTGTTATGAGATAGCGGAGTGTCTGCTAAATTGGTAGGCGTCATCTGTTGGTTCCACCATGAATTTATTGCCCTTGGAGCGAAATCTGCTTGGCGGAGAATCGATCGTTTGGATCGTGTAATCGTTGCGAGAAAGGATTTTTCATTGAATTTGAAAATCTACTATCTCATAATAGAGGACTCTCCTCTGTGATATTAAATATTACACGTCGCGAGCAATGTTTATAATTACAATACGTTGCAAATTTGTAATTCTTTCGCACACGACCTCGCGTACACGCGTATTGTGATTTTTAATGCACTTTCATACGGGCCGTAAATGGCAGTAGAAAATTATTTTTTAAGTGCTTCCCGCGTGATTTTCTCTCAAGATAAAATTTAAAAACTCGCTACATTTATCTCTCTACTTCGCTACGTTATTGGTATTGAATCTTGTACAAATTGATGTTTCATTAAATACATTTACCGAAATTGGAAGCTTCCGTGCTATTAAAAATGAAGTAGAATTTCATAATACTACTTTTCCCCTCACGTATTAAATTAGATCCCTTGCATTTCAATAGAAGGCAGGGGAGAAAAAAAGAGGGATAAAAGTGGTGACATTTTGATGAAAAGTCTTGAGGAATTGTGATCAACCGTCGTTTGAAATTTAATCGAGATTGAGAAATACAGCTGTAGAATGACGGGAGAAAACATAAATATCGAAATCTCGTAATAATTAATGAATTTTCGATTGAACGCGTTATTTCAGTTTCGCGGCCGGGCGTCTTGGAGTCTTTAGTGGCTCGCACAAGCCCACATTATTACTGTCAAACATGATTATTTATTCAACGATTGGGAATTGCGGTGAATTATTAATCTTCGGACAAGATTAAAAAGTGTATTTGAACAGTGACGAAAGGCGCTGTAAGCGAGGTAATAATTGATTAATCTTTAACGAGCCTTGTGCGATAACGGCGACTCGACAAAAGACTCGGGCAGGTCCGTAATGAAATAATAATGAAAAAGAATCTACGTTGAACAATGTACAAGGTGGATAATTGGAAAAAGAAAGGAGAAAGAGCGTATAGCATTGCGCCCGGGAGAGGAGCTCGCATCCTTATTGAAAAAGTGGAAGAGAAGATAAATTGGCATTTAGGGATTGGCTAACTAGCGCCGGGGGATCTCACCTCCGTGTCGTTCCACCACATGTGCAGCCGATAGTCCCTGAGTATCGTCGGGTGCTCGTTGATGTGCTCCACCGCGAGCTTGACCGCGGGCATGACGCCGCGGCCGATGTGGCCCTCCGGCACGTGGGTGCCGTACGGGAAGAAGCCGGCGATGTAGACGTCGCGCTTCTTGCTGCCGCCGAGGTTGATCGGCTTCTGGCCGGCGCACTCGCCGATCAGCAGCAGCCAGCAGCAGCAGCAGCGGGCGATCGCGGCGAGCAGCGAGCGACGGCGACGCCTCGGCCTCGCCGCGGCGGACATTTTGCCGTCCCCGTCCCGTCCTCTCCCCGTCTTCATCCCGTCTTCGTCAGTCCCGACGACATCCCGCGATGTGGACGCGACGCGCGCTTTCATCTCGTGCTCGGCCGGGAGGCCAGCGGCGGATACCAGCCCGACGAGAAGCTGCTGCTCCGCGCGACGCTCGTCGCCGCACGTCCACCGGCTTCCGCCCGCATGACTCGGGGGTCTCGGGGCAAGCGGCGCCGAGCGATTCCACGGCCGTTGGAGCGAGAATCCGCGATCGATTTGTTACGACGGCCGTTTCCGCGCCGACCGACCGACACCACTCGCGACGAGGCTCACGAGGCTCGCGAGAATAATCCGTGATAATTGCGCGTCGAACGTACGCGCGGCGCGAGAGCGAGAGAGATCGGAGATCTCGCCAAATGTCCAAGCGGTACGCGCGCCTTTTTCTCTCCAACGAGCGCGGACTCAGCTTTGTGCTGCGCTCGACATCCGCGATTCGGCACGGCGGGACGGCAGCGGCGAGAGCTGCCGATATTCACCCTTTATCGCGTAATACTCCCGAGTTCCGCGAGACCGGCGAGGGGGATCCCACTTCATAAACGCGCCTGGCTCGGCGTCTTTATCTCAGCGCCTCATTCCAGGCGATCGCACCTTAAGGTCGTCGGTGACTCCTCGTCGCGCCGCCGTCGCCGCAACTGACGTCTCCCGGTTGCATCTGCAAACACGCCCGAGTCAACTAGTTATTTGTTTTGCCAGATTAGACGGGGGCTGTGCGAGTGTCGCAAAGGGGCGCCAAGTGAATCAAGAATATTATCAGTTCCATTGCCTCGCCTGTTCCCGACGAGTGGAGCTGGCGATAGCTCCGCCGGGAGATTAACGGAGATTAATGAGCAACGAGAGCAAGGTTAACGAAGAATAATGAGGATTAATGAAGGAATCGAGCACGAGAGATCTTGTCCCCGAGCGCACACAGACTCCTATCCCGAAACCACTGACCTTAATTTTCCCGCGACGCGTTTCCCGCACGTTTGTCACGCGTTTACGCCGACGAGCGGTCATGCACGCCTCCTCCCCTTCTTTTCGCCCTTTTTAACAAACGTTTCGCCTCAAGTGAACTTTAGCAGGTATACCCGTTACGGTGAACGGTGTCGGCGCGATCGCGCTATATCGTACGTCACACCCGAAATTAAAGCCTTATCTCGTTTCGTGTCATTTTCGGTATATATAGCATCGCTTCGTCTCTCGCGCGTTATCAAAGTAGATAAATAAAGTTGGAGATTCTATCTAAAGTTTAATCCCGCAGCCGCGAGGCGCTATCGAACCGGGCAAAGGGATGAAACTGCTTTACATTGTCGCCGTTAACTTACCGGCTCCGACAGCCGACCTGGCCCACTTTCCGCCGCCATCGCGGGCACATTTGATCCGCGCGGGATGCGAACCTGCGCCTTCAGAAATAACGTATCCTCGGGGGGCAAGCGGGAATTTAGCAATCGCTGGTCGCCGCCGTCTCGGATGTTTGCCGATGGCACACGCCGCGTCAACTTTTTCACTTGTCCCTCCGCAGTCGGTCCGTTTCCCCTGGAAGACCCGCGAGAAAACATCTCCGATCACAAACGGAATCGAATAAATTTATTTACGTCCGAGCCACGGGCAAAACCCTCTCTCTCTCTCTCTCTCTCTCCAGTAAAAAGAAAAATTGTCGCCCGGGAAAAATAGTGCGCGCGCGAAATGAAAAATACGTATCTCGTGACCAGCAATAATGTGGCTTTCCGTCCGTACGCGAGTTAATTAATATAACGCCGACGCGCTATTATTTCACCGAATCCAGTGACACCGTCGTATTATCATTTTACAGGATTACCGGACGGTGAGGGATGATCGGGAAAATTGAGATGGAAGGGGCGGCTTAGGGCGGAGAGGATTGATGGCGTTGTTCGGAACGGGTAAGATTATAGGGATGTTAATGGCTTAGGAATCTATCTATAATGAACATGAATTTGAGGTTGATGCGACTTCGTGTGCGTGCGCGCGCGCGCGCGCGTGTGTGTGTGGGGGTGCGAAAGATGGAAGGGGAAAGACGGAGACTAAGGGAGCAAGGAGGAAAAGCCAGCGTTTCGGGAATGTGTGAAACGGATCTGCCAACGCGATGCCCACAGGGTGGATTATGCTCGGGAGTGAGAGCGGCTGATCTCGGCAATTTAATAATTGAAAAGGATGGCGCGCGGACGACACGACCGCGCCGCCAACTCTTTCATGGGGATTGACGTAGCGCCGGGAAAAAAATAGTGGCGGCCGAGGGAGGGATGGAAAGGGGAGAGGGTGTAGAAAAGTCGACATCTGCGGACACGATCCGGCATTAAATTTACAGGGGATACCTCCTTACTTTAACATGAGCGTTCGACTTCGGGAAGGAGGACGCCCGCAAGTTTCCCTCGAGACCTTCGGTCTCCTCTCTCCTCTTTTTTTTTTCTCAACCCGTCGACTTTTATTATCCCGAAACAAACTTCCCGCTTGATAAACATCCGCGTGCTTTCGCGACCGTTTCTTAAATTCGAGCGCAACTTCCGCAAAAGTGCCATAGGTACGCGCGCTATAAAGGATCGTAAAAATGTACGCGTCACCAACTTTCTGTGAAACTATGCGGAACCTGACAAGTTGGATCGTCGCGCGGCGACATTAGCGAGACGACCGTTTCGACCTGGCAAGATTTTCTAGTTACGCCAGACAGTACCTTAAATCCAGCGGAACTACGAGAGAGCTACGATCGTACCACGCGATAAGCCGTCGTGCTAACTTACTTGATTTTAAACGTAGAAATCTCTTTAAGTTGCCAGTAACAGATAACAATAATCAAGCTTTTTAGTCGACGTTAACCGTCCAGTGTTTTAACACAGAAAATGTATACCGAGGGGAAAACCGCTGAGGGCACTGTGTACAGATTTGCGGCATTACTGGGCACTACTAGGCATTTTTGGGCATTAGACCTTGCTGGGGCATTATAGAGATATAATAAGATAAAATAAGCTAAATGCTCGCTGGGCATTAGTGGGCATTGGTGTACAAGATTTTGGTCAGCGGTTTCCCCCTCGGTTTGAACCTGGACTTCCTACACTCTAGGCGGGGGTCTCACCAATTCGACCACTGAGGCAATATTTGTCGCGATAACAGTATAAATATGACATCTTTATTCCTTCCCCCCTTTCCCCAATTACGTGGGAACACTACGTTCGAGGTCAATGGTGTATAATCAACTAACAAGAATATTCTTAAATGTCGCCAGCCAGTAATTAACAACGTCAGTGTTTTCTTGACTATATCTGGCATTTTTAATAATACAGAAAATTTACTGCGAAAAATATTACCTCGGCCAGGGTTTGGACCTGGACCTCCCTGCACTCTAGGCGAGCGTCTCACCAATTCGACCGAGGCACGTGGTAATATTGGTCGCAATAACAGTGTAAAGTTGACATCTTCGCGTCCAATTTTCGACTTGCTTCATCTTATTCCTAAAATTGATTAGACTTTCTATCGTTGCTCTAATAAACTTATTAATTTAAATATACAAGGGATATGAAAAACTAATAACGATGAGAATAAGTGAGTTATTCTAATAAGGAGTCCCGCGCTCTCTTTTCTCGAGACTCTCTGGATCAAAGTAGAGAAAGCTCTCTGCCGAGAGATCGAACATGAAAAGCATTTCAAGCCAATCAGACCTTCCGCGAAATTAGAGCTATAAAATTTGAAACGCGCTTCGATCGTCGTCGCGATTGGCCGATGCGTCAAGAACGGCTCGTAGAACGACCTCGTGCAGTACTTGAAATGACGATCGATGCATTCCCAGTTGACTCGCTACCTTTTAGAATCGCACATGTACGCCGGTGTTCTAGCCCGACGTAGAACGCGATCTTATTAAAGCCGTTCGAGACGTCGATCGCAGTTTCTGCAATGATGCGCGACGAAATTTAAACTTTGGGTCAAGGATCTGGTCGGGATTCCGAGATGATCTTGTTCCGAATGCGATATTAATACAGAACTCGGGATAAATTACTCCGCCTGGCCATTGAAACGTCGCTGACCTCGCAGCGTTAACGAGGTAGAAGCGGCTTTAAAATAATTCAATATCCCATTCGCTTTTTGCCTTAGACCCTTCCAGATGAGACTTATTAAGGTGATAACGCAATTATACGCGGACCGTATGGCTGTAAGAGTTTTTGCCAAAGTTAATTACGTCCGTTACGGCCGGGGCCGGACTAAATCTGTTGATCGCGAGAATTTCGAATGAGGAAATAAAAGGTTGCGTGAGAGCGGAACGTTACGCAACGTCTCCCGGGTCTCCAAAGGTTAAATGTAACGTCGATACATTTTTAATTACGTACGTATCGCTGTGGCCATCGGGCGATTCCGTTTCGCGAGCGAATCGTTATTCGTCGGCGTTTAGTTCTCAATGGTTTCGTTCGAGAGCCACTTTCCTATCTCATTGTCAACAATCTCGACCGGTAGCTTCGACTCGTGAAGAGAAAGAGAGAGAGAGAGAGAGCGCGCGCGGTATTGTGCCGTGCCAAGTGCCTCGTCGAGATGACCTACAATTGCTGTTTAAGTGGTCCGGTACGAAGCCAGTTATTACACAGTCGTAAACGGTCGCGTTCAATTTCCGGTCGCGGAACATACCCCCTCTCGAAGGGGCCCCCTAGGCTCGCCCGGTGACAAAGGGCCGCACCGGGGGAATCCCGTGTTCGGAAACGGGAAACAACGCGACGGCGCGCTTACTCTTGCTCGTAAGAATCGCCTCGCACGGAGGAAACAATTCTCCGGGAGTCTCTTCCGTCCGTCCGCGTTACATCTCACCGCGCGTCCCGCTATTCAGACTTTTTTAGAGAGGTGACTATTCTCCGGAGTGTCAGCGTCTATTTTTAGCTCGCGCCGCACGACAACGACGAGGACGACGAGGACGACGACGAGGAGGAGGACGACGACGACGTCGACGACGACAGCGATTACTTCTTGTGTTGCGACCG